CAGCCTGTGTGCAATATTTAAAACACTCCTCAGGTTGTGTGACTCAGTTCACTTAGCAGTTTGACTGGCTCGGTTAGTGTTAGTTACTGGAGAAAAGTTTATTCTTGAGGCTAAAGRAAGTCTGACTGTTCTGTAATGTTGGAGGTTTCATTTAAAAAAGTATCAATTGAATCTACAATAAAACTCCTCGTTTAGCTTCTTTTAGGCCTGACATTTCTCAGTTTGCATAACAACATAATCAGATTACATTAAACAACTTGAAGTTAAGGTTTCATGAAGTATAATCAGGTCTGAGGGAATTCACAGAATTATTATTATTTTTTAARGGTAAGCCATTAAAAGCTGTTTGTGTTGTGCTTTCTCTTGCAGTGTGATGCTGCTGTGAGTGACCGATGATCCTGGGTGCTCCTTTCATTTTTATGCTCTTATTTATACCTCCTCTGGAAGGGAAATGTGAATACAAATCACTTGAGGTTATAGAATTATGAGTGAAAAGTTTTTTTCCTATCTCTGTAAAATCTGATGTGTGAGTTTCTTAAAGGCTGTTTGAAAAAATAAATCAAAGTTCTATGCAATAAGAGTTTGTTTTATTTGTGATATATTCATCTGAAGGTTTAGTGTTGCACTGAAACGACTGCTAGTCACAGTTGTTGCTCCTGGTATGCACTCATGCTTAAAAATAACTTCTGGCCCTGCAAAGYCAATACTTGACATATCTGCATTCTTTACTGTGTGGCACTGAAGTGTGCYTGATTGTGAACATCAACTCACTCTGCTAGAAAATGTCAAAATGTTTGTTTCTGCGGAATTTTTTGTTGAAGCAATTAAAGCTAGAACTGTTTGGATTAGCTGAAGTTCAGCAGTCTAAATTTTGAATCAAACAGCTAATAAAACTCCAGAGATATATGCTTAAACATGAAGATATTTTTACACAGAATACTGAAAAATATAAAAATTTGAGCTCATACTGGAATGCAGCAAAATTGATGAATTCGCATATTGTGATAAAGCTCATTATTTTCTGTAATGTACTGATAAACATTAAACTTTCATATATTTTAGATTCATTGCACACCAACTGAAGT